TTAACGCTGTTTTCATGCAATGTCAACGTCCATCTGCGACGGCTTTACATCGGCCTGGTCGTCGATCACGTCGCCACGCGCGTGCCCAGAGGGGAGAGAAGGGAGGTGTGTAAAGGGGGGAAGTCAGACTGGGGCGACAATGCTTCTTGCTCATGCGTGCGTCAAAGTCTGTGATGTTACGTCAATCATCATGCGCGCCCGCGTTTTCGGGAAAACTCCGGCCAGGGACAAAACCACGCACGCCGGTACGGCGGGCCGTCGTGGTCGTCGTTCTTGCTCCCCAGTTTCGTGCGCCGCGTCTGTTGATTGTGGGGTGCTGCTCTACATTTTCTTTTTCGTTTGACAAAAAAAAAAAAGAGCAGAAAAGGTGTTATTTTCGGTCGTGTTGTAATTATTAGTGGATTTATTGTTGTATTTGTGTACAGTTGCGCCAGTGTCAGTGTGTTTTTTTTTAGTGATGTCAAGATGTCGTATCTCTTCTTTATTCTGTGCGGCGTCGAAGACGCGGCTCTTGCTTCTGTGGCGTTACTGTCCAAGGAGGTACTCGTCGCTTGCATTGGGGTTTGGGAGGAACCAGAGCGGCTGCCATCGATTGGGGTTTTGCGGGTCGAGTGTTTCATCCTCTGAGTAGAGCGTGAGGACTTCATCGTGCCAGTCGTCGCGTTGCCACTCCACGCGGAGTCGGCAGCCGGGCTTTGGCTCCCCTCCAGCAGCCACGTCGTTCTTGTCTTCGTTGCCGGGGCCATTGGTGGGGGCCGCGTTTCCGTCGTAGTCAGTTTCTTCCGCCGCGTCTGTTGGGGCGGCCGCGGCCGCCACGCCGGGGCGCTTGGGACTCGTGTGTGGCGGCAGCACCTCAACGACGGTGCCCAGTGCGTAGACGTCCGTCATCCAAAGTCGTATCTTCTGCCCAATCGTCAGCGCGTGCGCCCCCACGGGGGCAAACGCGTTTGCGTGCCGGTCGGTGGGTGGTGGGGCCTTCGGCATGTCCGCAACGTACATGGGCCCCAGCAACGGCCCCAAGTACTGCGCAATAAATGCTTCTACTGCCTCTTCGTATTTGGCACCGGCGCCCTCAGTGCCACGAGCATCGACGCGCGCGTCGTGTGGCACAATAACGTCCCAGGCATGACTCTGATTGCTGCTTCCATTCGTGGCTGCTGTGGGTTCTGTTGCCGTCTGCGCCGCTTCCACGGGTCTGCGGCAAGAGGTTGCGAGTGCCACCACAAATGTTCCACCGATGACTGCGTCTGCGACGAGAAAGGGAGTTAGCGCTGCTACCATCTCTGCGCTGCCGCGCTTTGCCTCGGCGGGAGTGCCGTTGCTCACCTTGGGCTGGGAATGCTTTCCCCACACGTACAGCAGGCCGTCGCCCGTCACCGCCGTGGACATCGTACCGCGCCCCGCGCCGATGCGTGTGGTGGACGCCGGGGCCGTTACGACGATTGGCGTGAGTTGACCGTCGCCGTTGCCCATCTTGCCGAAGTGGTACACCACCGCCCCCACCACAGGCGAGTCACGCAACACAAGTGTGTGGTCGTCACCCGCCGCAATGCCGCAGAGCCGCTCCGGGTGAGCCCGCTCTGGAAAACGCACACGCTGCGGAGTAAGTGCTGGCGCCAAATTCCCAGTTCCAAGCTTGCCGTAGTAGCCTTCACCGCAGGTGTAGACTTCATCCGAGCTGCGACAGACGACGTGCCCCCGAGCCGCAGCCACCTCCAGAATAACGACGTGGTGTCGCACGAACCACTGCACTAGAGTAGGGACCTTCACGTTTGTCTTCACAGTTTGAAGCGTGCGTGCATCCATGCGTTCTCCGTTATCGCCGTGGCATAAATGGCCGTACTGTGCCTCGCCCCATGCATATAATTCGCCCTTATTATTTAAAGCAAAACTTGCATTGCCTGCCGCATACACCGCCTTGATGTGTGCAAGACCAGCCACCGGGGCGAAGCCGCTCACGTTCGCGGTAACACCCAGTTGGCCGCAGCTATTATCACCGGACGCAAACACCCCGCCAGCAGACATGCAGACAAGTGTGTGTTTATTGCCGCAGGCGAGGCCACTGACGGTGGTCCCCGCCGACAAAAGCCCCTCAACGTAAAGTCGTGTAAGCGTGGTGGTGTACTCCGGCACACGGTGACCCAGCTGCCCACTGTGATTGCTCCCCATGCCGTAAACAAGCCAATTCTTGCCGTCGTGGTCACACGACACAAATGACGACGACGGCGTCGCTTCCACCGCAGCAGTTACACTACCGCGTGCCCCAGCCGCCGCCACCGCCGCATCGTGGTTGTGTTCAACAGGCATCAAAACCGCCACCAGATGCTTCTGTCCACACGCCAGGAATTTTACTGCGAGGTGCCGCGAATCAATGCGGCGCAGCGTCTCCCCGGCGACATCGCCTGCGCCGTTGGCCATGCGGGCGTGGGCGCCGTCATCAGTCACCATAGAGGGGGCGGGAGGGACATAAAGCGGATAGCGCAGCGCCGGCCTCTCCGGGTGCTCCACGAGAGTCGGCGTCTGAAAGTTGTAATTTCCCCAAAAAAACATTGAATCCACCCCGTTCTGTGTTTCCTCCCCCCAGCTGGGCCCTCGGGTTGCGTGAAAGTAACTCTTCTGTGGGGGACTTACCGACGGTTGTTGCTGCTGCTCCCACTACTGACGTACGCGGCACCTCACATTTTGCGTGCGTGGGTGTTTGTTAGAGAGAAAGAGGAAGAGGTGGAGGCCCACTGTATGCGCATCCCACAACACCCCACCGGGAACCGCGTCACACACAAACCGAGCATGCACGCGCAGCAACAAAATTACATGGGCAAATGGAGCATATAAATATATGCTTTTGCTTATATATATATATATATTATATTTCTGTCTCTCTTTCTCTCTCGGGTAGTGTTTCTTTTCCTTCTCTCATCCCTTTCCCAGTGAAGCGACACACACACATGCAAGGGAGGAAAAAAAAACAATAATAATAACAATAATAATTAATCCGCCCACTGAAAAAGCCCAAAAACCACAATAAATAAACGGCAAACTCGCATATGCACCAGTACACCGAACAACGGACAAAAGTGCAGTGTGAAAGGGTAAGTTAAGTGGGAATTGCAGTCGTAATTCACAGGAAACTGGTCCTGCAGGTTACGTCAAAAAAAATAAAATGAAACCACGGCAGACGCAACAACAAAATGTGCAAAAAACAAAACAAAGAGAACCATGCATACACGCAAGGCCTTTTTCCCTTGCAGGCAGTGAGATACACACACACACACACACAT